AAGATTTTTATTCGGAAAATGTATCTTGGTTGTAACCAAGGTATACGGTAATTGGGAAAAAGACACTCCAGTGTCGACTGATTGTTGGAAATAATTTAAATGTGGTTTTAAATGAAATCAAGACCGGCAGACCAGGAATGGTAGAAACGTTGACATGTAATAACGATGATAGTTTGGAAATTGGGGAGAGATCTGTAGTTATCCTCCGAGAATTGAAAGAAATAAAAGAGGTAATTAGGATTATATATCATGATATAAATATATTGATTAATTAGAATAGTAATGGTAATAAAGGCCAGATATGTGGTCAGACGGGACCAAATGGAAAAATATTTCCGATGGAAAAAATGGTTTCTCCGGGAATAAGAAAATCATCGAAATTTGAGATATACCCGCTGTGGTTATAAGGGCCACAAGGGAGACCTGTGTTGTCAAAGAACACAATTTTCGTGAAAGTTTTCCGTTAAGAAAACCGATACTAGAAAATTCTAATGTTAGAAAGACACGAATAAATTTGAGGGGCTACAATCAAATTATGATAGATCCAGTTTGTGTTTTAAGTGTAACAAACCGAGACATGTGGCCTTAAACTGTACCGAAAATTGACATATGATTGAAGGTGTAATCATATAGTGGGTAGGAGATCGAGAGGTCGAAATATTAATAAATTGTATAACCATGCTGAAATGAGATATGATTCTCATGAAAGCCGTGGTTTTAATGTAAATTTTTTTTATCCTGATGATAAAATTAAAAATAGTAAAGGTTGTAATAATTTTAAATGGGAGAAATATCCTAAGGGTATTGTTAAATATTCCGATAAAAAGGATGTTAATACTTTCAATGGGAAAAACATCCCAGTGATATTGCAAAAAAAACTATGAATATTTATTATTAAAGAACCGCTAAATTCCGAGTTGAATTTATCCAAATGTGAATTATAATGAAACTGAGGTTTCAGATGAAATAAATATTGATCAGTCAATTAAAACATATGAGATTTTAATGACTGAGAGATTAGTCGAACCTTGTCCTTGTCCGAGAATTAACGTAAGAGTTGACTCGAGGGACATCGACATGTTGTTCGACACCGGGGCTAGATTTCAATAATGTCTAGAAAAAATTATTATAAGTATTGGCCTGGGGGCATACTTGGAAGAGAATCTATGTACGTCAGGCAGAGTGATGGGTCGAAAGTTTTAGGAAAAACTAAGTTGGGAGTCATTCTCAATGATACAACATTTTTCCTAGATTTATGGGTAGTGAAAAAGGATGTGGAGACCATCATGGGGTGGGATTGAATTGTCAAGCTTGGTCCTTTAAAAATTATTGGGATATTTTTGCCATATAGAATGGTCCAGCCGTAAATGAGACTGAAAACAAAAGTATTGCTAATAATGCTTGAGATAAAATTTGTGAAATAATAGGGACGGATTTAACCGTAAAGGAAGAGAATTCAACCGTTAATTCTGATATGTATGTAATGACGGAATTAATACTTGGTGACAATATTGAAAGTAATGAAGGACAAATGGTTGCTATTCGGGTTTCAGTGTAGACCAGTTTAGTATGGGTCAGTTTCTATGGTTCAATATAGACAAGTTTTTATGGTATAATACAAGTTTTTATGGTTCAATTCAGACTTATAACAATATAAGTGATATAAGTTTATGGTGTGCACTTATTTTTCATGGGATTAAAAATTTTCTTTGTCTACCAGATGATAGTGGCGATAAGTCATTTTTGAATGAATAGAAAAGTTTTTTTTATAAGTCATTTTTTTGAATGAATAGAAAAGTCTTTTTTATGGTATTAGAAAAGTTTTTGTTCTCAGTGTTATTCGAAAAGTTTTGGTTTGGTCATATCTGTGTTTTGATCATTCACATTGATAAAAAGTATTTTTCATTGGCAAGGTCTGCCAGTTGTTATAATATTTTATCTCTTTTGGTGTAGTGGTCAGATGTAAAAGTATATATTTGTTGGAAGAAGACAGTATCAATTTGGTGAATGATTTTTTTTTATCATGGTGCTTCATAACATATATAAAAAGGAGAATATTTTTGATCGAGATAATAAAAAAAGAGAGAAGTTACTAGTCAATAACATTTAATATAAAAAAAAAATTTTTTATTTTTAAATATTTTTTTACTAACCCTTGTATTGTATTGTTTTTCTACTACTTATTTTTGTTGATGTGAATTGTGCAGCAGAAGGAAAAAAAAATAGAAGTTGCCTTTAATTTGTAATTAATTTTATGTAAAGAATAATAATGTAGCCTGGTGATTCGCATGACTTAAGCAGTTATTTTTATGGATAAATTTTTTTTTCCCTTTTATTGGCATAATTTGTTATTTTTTTTAATTTCCCAAAATTGTAATTTAAGAATTTGTTAATAAACAAAAAAAAACATAAAATAAATTTTCTTTTCTTTTTGTATACCATTTCTTCTTAATCACATGTGATCAATTATAATTCCAAAATGTTATTTTCTTTTTGTACCAAATTTACCATTTCTTCAATATCACATGTGATGAATTATAACTCCAAAAATTTCAATATAATCGTCGTTTACCCAACCTGTCGGAACAATGACAATACGTATAATTCGTCGTTTCAAGTTATTCAAATCAAGCCAACAATTACCTGATGACTATCGTATCGATACAACTAGTGATCAAACTCATGATTACATAGAGATCAAACCTTTTTATGCTATGAATATGATATGATAGTGGAATTCGTATTAGCAGATTACCGTCCTAACAAGTTACACGATTATGTCCATATAGCATACCTTTGTAAAACCATGAATATTCATTATTCTCTTAATATCATTAATAATCAAGAGGCATAGTAATAAGAAAAAATTCTCTTATTTTAGTAATATCATCCTTCATAATATCACTCAAATATATAATAAATATTATATATAATTTGTAGGGAATGTCACTGGCCCATAAAGGGGTGGCATGTCCTAGTTCGTATATATTTTTTTGTTTATATGAAATTATTAAAATGTCAATCATTTTTTTGTGATAAAATTTTTATCATTTTTTTTATATGAATTCATTCTTCGTTTTTTTAAAAAATGAATTGAATTATTATTAATTTGTCTCTTAACTTTTAAAAAATGATTATTTTCTTGTGTGATGAAAATTTCAAAAACCATTAATTTTTTCTGTATTTTGCAAAGTATATTTTTATCAATTTGTTTTAAAATTTTATTTGAATAAAAGATTATTAATTTTTGCTGGAGTCCTTTTTTTTATATATATTTTAATAAAGATTATTTTGAGTTTTCGGAAGTACTTCTATAATTTTTGAAAGTACTTTACTTTTATAATTAGATTTTTGAAAGTTTTCTTATTTTTTTGAAAAGTTGTTTCTTATTTTTTCTCTCTATTTTGTTAATAAATTTTAAATGCTTATTAGTTCCAAGGTTGGGATAATAGTAATTCCTTTTTGTAATTAGTAACTAAAAGAAGTTAGTAATTATAATTTAATGTGTTTTTAGGCATCTAATTAGGAATTATCATTTATAATTCATAATTACATTAATAATTCCTTTTTTTAGTAACTAAAAAAGTTAGAATGATAATTTAATATGTTTTTTAGGCATATAATTAGGAATTATCAATTATGATACATAATTATATTAATAATTCCTTTTTTTATTTAATTAAATTTTTATGAAAAACGCTTAAATTGCAATCATTCATTCATATTTTTTATATTTAAAACTATTAAATAATTTCAATATTTCATTATATTTTTCGCGAACTTTTAATTTGAACTCTGATGTAACTCCGAGCTGCTTGTGCATTCTACGGTCAAAGCGTAAAGACCACAATCAAACCACCAGTAATTTCCTAAAATATATGAAGGTGTATTCAATTAATTTCCTGTTCCTGATAGTGTTCCTTATGTGAAGACATCCTTCAACGTTAAAACAATTTAATGATTAAATTTATTTAATTTCAAAAGCAAATATACAACAAACTTTACCAAAAAAATTTCAAACTCATCCAAAATAAGTCATTAAATGGCTAATGATTTATTTGTAAATTTTGTTATAAAAGGTCAATAGATTGTCTTCATCGGCACCTGTGGATAGACTATTTAGTTTTGCAACTTTGCAAAATATATTATAGAACAGGTTTAAATAAGGAACTGTTTGAAAAATAGATACTTTAAAAAAAGTCATACGTTTCTAAAATATTAGTTAAATTCTATTCCATTTTGTAACACAGAATTTGATTACATTTTTTAACAGTTAAACGGATTTTGAGCTGATTTTTAAAAAACGGCTAACTCATTAGTAAAAATTTTATGCAAGTTTTAAGATTTTGCTCATAGGGGCACAAAGGTTTGAACATCTATTGACGAAATCTCGAGGCTTATACAATATTTTTGTGGCTAAAATATTAAGTTAGCCGTTTTTAAATATCGGTTCAAATCGAGCCGTTTAACAACTATACATAAAATGTATAAATATAATTTTTATAATATGGAAATATCTTATGATATTGTACTTTATATTGATAGAGTAAAACCTTTATATTTTTCAAACATAAAAAAAATGTAAAACAGAATAATAAATTTTTTTTAAATTACATTACTATTTAAGTTTCTCGATATTTTTTATGATCTTTAATCAAATCCTACTATAATTTTTAATTTTATTATAGAAGTGATAGTAATCATGTAATTATAATTACTTTAAAAAAATCACGATTACGTAATTAATTACGTTTTCCACCGTTTTTAGCAAGGAATTATTAATTATAATTAACTACAAAAATTTTGTAATTTTAATTAGAAATTAATTACATTTTTCGAGTAATTGTGTCCATTTCTGATTAGTTCTAATAAATTTTTTAAATATTTAAAAATTACACCCCCCCCCCTCTTCCTAGTTAAAAATTTATGGCTATGCGCCTGTGTCTATTATATAATATAACCCGAAATGCTGAATATATATATAGAAGAAAAAGGATTACCCGAAAATCTTGATCTGCATGTATTTCTTGATCAGTGCTTTTAATGTAATTGTCATTGCCGAAATTGAGTTGACGGGAAAATGTTTCACGAGAATAATCGTTACCCAAAAACGACTCGTAATTAGTGTGGGGCTCCTCGGTACAAATGTCTTCCTTAGCGGCGAGCCTGTCGAACTCGCAATTTGACCCGTTTTCAGTTAAGTAATCTTTATTGGCAAAAGGTATGAAGAACCCATTTTCATTCATGTTTTTGTTATAAGGGGTTACCGTATTGATATGGAGGAAGGCCGATTTGCTTTCCATATTTTGTTCTTTAGCGGGAGAAGTCGGAAGGAAGATGGTGGAGGCAACCGAATAATGTTTTAACTGGTTATTAAAGATCTGGGGCAGTCCACTAGGGTTGTATGCCTGATCGGTTCTAAAATCGGAATCATAAGCCCGGGCATATTCCTCTATGAAAAGGGTTGGTATTGCATCATGACTTTCGCCGTTTTCGTGATTGTATTGCGAACCGAAAAGCGTAATTTCTTCTAATTTGATAGTTTGCCGTTGGTCAGAGCTAATCGGTTCAACTATGTTAAAGGGCTTAACGAGATCTATGTCCGTTGACAAGTGGAGGCTATTTCTAATCTTGGGATATTCCAGTGATTCAATGATTTGCAAGGAAGTTCTCATATTGTTGGCGCCATTGAGAATATCATCTGTGCCACCATTGACGCTGGTTTCGTTTGCCTTATGAAATGACGTTTTGAGAAACGTGTGGTATTCTGTTTTTGTATGGGGGTTAGAAGATTTAAAGATGATGTCCTTCTCAAAATTCTGGTCAGAGTGGGTAGAGGAGTTAGGGGATGTGCAATTATCCATGATATCATTCGAACTTAATCCTTTTTTTAATCCGTCAGGGTTTGTTTGACGGAGTGAAGAAGTTTTTTTATCGTTTTTTAGTTTATCATGATTGGGTTGACCTTTACCATATAACAAAAAATGGAAAAATATGTTCCAAAGAATTTACATTTGCGACCTATCTTAACAGTTCATGAATCACGCGGAACAGGGGGATATGTCATAGACAAAATAAAGAAAACCTGTTAATATAAGGAATCCATAACCTGGACCCTATAATACAAAAAATCTATTCGGGTATGGAACATTTAAAAAACTACATGTTACTTGAAGTGTCCTTTCGTTTCCGTAAAGAGCACCTAATTTTTGAAAGCCAATTGACGCGAAAGGGTTCTTTTGAGTCTTTAACATCTTTAGCTTCCTTGGTCTCCTTTATGTTAAGAGCTGGGGCAGAGCTGAAAAATATCGGATCGGGCAACCGATTGAACCGCTTACGCTTAGGAGCAGGTATCGATTCCGTTTTGTCTACAGGTAAGGGAAGAGGCTCGGACCTATAAGTGCATTTTTTGCCAAAACGAAAAAGGGAAGACAAGAAAAAGCCTTTGTCAACACTATGATTGGCTGGTTTAGGCGAAGTTCTATTGACGTTTAATTTTCGATATAAATAATTTTTTTAATTCCCGAGACATATTACTAATACAGTTCACGATAAACTTTAAAAATAAATTAAAGGATTGATAAATATTTGAAAAAAATGTATCTTAACTAGATATTTTATAATAAAATATGCCATATTTTGTATATTTATAAAAAATACATTTTTTCGGACTTTTCATTGGGAGTTGCGAATTTGTAATTGTAAGGAGACGTCGACAACTGTAAAGGGGAGGAATTGAGTTGGAGCTGCTCGGATTTTAGGAATGGACGTTTTTTGAAGGAAAGCATCTTCATCTCTTCAATGATTTGCGAAATTTGAGGGTGTTGGGGTTGTTCTATAAAAATGATTTTAAAAAAGAGGGATAATTGAGAAAGACGATATCTAAGCGTTTGTTGATACAATACGATAACAATATCGGTACTATTTGTAAATAATCGTAAATAGAGTTTAGATTCTCAAATAGATAGGCATTTTTAAAAAAATTTTTTTTTGCTATTATGATTGTCATCGATAATATAAATGACGATTGCAATATTATGTTTTAAAATAAAAATTAAATGACGAGGGTCAAGTATCCGGTCGCCAGTATCGTCACTAGAAAAAGGCGCAAGGGCTTGAGCCCTCTGAAAAATTTGAATATGCCCCTGAAGCGAAAAAAAAAATTATTTTTTAATGGCTCCCTAATATCCCCCTGAACTAAAAAATAAATTTTTTGATAACCTGAACGATTTCTTTTCTTTTCTTTTATTTGATTTTATTATTTAAAAATTAATAAGACTATCTAAATTTTTATTAAATGAGTGCTATTTTAATTATTAGATTAGATTAATATACATAAATTATATTTACACTATGCCAGCTTGCAATCAAATTCTGTGTTAAAAATGGAATAACTATCACTTATAATGTCTAAATATCAATTAAGTATTAACAGTTGAAGCTTAATTGATTTTTATTATTTAAATTATTTTATAACTCAAATTAAATAAATATCATCATTTATTAATCAAAAATTAACAAATTTAATATTGTAATTTGCCGAGTTCAATACTAATCAACTGTTAATATAGAAATTTTGAATAAACTTTATATTTTTTTTCTTTTTAAATTAAATGACCTTTTCGTAAATTTTCTTTTACTTTTTATAAAATATAAGGACGAACTTGTCGAAATTCTTTTTTTATATAACCTTTTAAAAAACTTATTATTTTAATATGTAAAAATGTAAATTTAAAATATATATATATTGAGCACAAAATGTTAAATATTTTAGTGTTAAAAGTGTTAATAAAATATAATTTTTTAATTTTTATTGCCGTGGAGTGAGTGGACTTGCCCATCGTACTTCATCTACTGGTTCTATTATCTTATCATCAATCCATTTTTGTAATACTTTTGTTATTAAATCAAGTTTTTTATATGGAACGCGTCTTGGTGGTATAATTTTTGGTTGCATCTTGTTTCAAATGTAATTTAACATCACTACGATATATAGGTTTTTTATTAATTTTTGAATTGCATTCTTTTATCAATTTTTCTATCATATCATTATTACTTTCCTCGATTAGATTCACAAATTTATTAAGTATGTTTCCGAAAACTTTTATCCACGTCCTTCCCAGAAGTGCAATCTTGTCACTTTGGACTACATACGCATTTAAGTTTTGAGTTTTGTCTTCAGTATAAACAATCTCCCATTGGCGTCAATATATTCCTTTCCATTTATAAGTACATATGTTGCATGTCGTCAAGTCTATCATATCGTATAGAATTATAGTTTTCCTTTCATGTAATTTATATGTCCAATCTCTTTTGTTATTATCAAAAATTCTTTTTATACTTATTTCTATTGGTGGCGTAATGATTAACAAATATTCTGCCACCATAATATTTTATATTATTCATTTTTAAATTTAATTACCATGCCTCTTCCTAAAAATATCTCTAAGGTCCAAACAAGTATAAAAAATTTCTTTATAAAAAGTAAGTAGACATATAGTTGATAATCCACTATTATTTAAAATTGGTTACAAAATATTAGGTAAAATGCCATTTTTACAGACATATTAGACAGTTATAGAATATATTACAGTTAATATTTTAATAAACTTTACTAATCAATGCTTTTGATAATAAATATAAGTAACAATTTGCATACCATTCTTTAACGCCATCTATTTATTTTTAATAAAAAAATATTATTAATAATTAAACATTTTATTATTCATCCCACAATGGATGTAATCCTTATTAGATTTTTTTTTCTTATCATTTTTTACGTGTTTTTAGGAAAATTTTTTCTTCTTTGAAAAACAGTTTTGAGTTAAATTTTTAATATTATTACAAACTACTATTATTTTAAGACATCATATACCAACTAGACATGGCACGAATAATATATAAAATCTTAATTGCTTTCATCATATTACTCTGGTCCTTATTTTCTATTCACTAAATGATTAATTTCTAATAAGGCATCCTTACCGTGTAAATAACTCAAGGCTTCAATATATTTGCATAACTATTTCTTCTAAAGATGTTTAGTGTTTTTGTTTTATCAATTTATCTAATAAATCTGATATGAGTTTACATCGTATGGCTATAACTGCAAATTAACCATCATCTGTTTGTGTGGCTATAAGATTATTACTCATGCTGCTGAGAGCATTTGATTGCATAATTGAGATAAGCAATAATAGTCAAATGTCTAGTCGTTTATATATCATTAAAAATGGAAGATAATCATTTAGAAATTTAATATCTCAATAATTTTTCCAATTACTTATTGCCTTGTGTGGTTTTTAAAAACCATTATCAATTGAGGATGTTAACTTATAAGTATTGAATTGTTGTTTTATTATTTTTGTAAAATGTGTATTTTTAGAGATTTTGAAAAATAAATAAAAAATTGCGATTTCGTTTTTTCCATAATTACTAAAAAAGACACTCAAAAATGGCACAGTCGATAAAAAGTTTAACGGATTCAAACTTGTGTTACAAAGATTGGTACAACTTATTTAAAGAATTTACCAATGTTAACATCATCATAAAAAAAATCCCTGTTATTAACAACATCAAGATGTGATACTTATAGTGCTGTAAAAAATTTTAAAAAAATCGAACGCGTTCGCGTTCAACGTTCATTGACAAAAATCGAACGCGTTCACGTTATACGTTCAAAATTTTATGATAAATTTTTTTTTAATATAAAAAAATGCCTTATATTTTTCAACACAATATATTAGCCATGATAAAAAATAATAGTTTTATTTTGATAATATAATTATAAATACAATATAATAGAGCGATAAAAAAATAAATTTATAAAAAAAATTTCTTATTAATTTTTAATAATAATCGCTTTTCAAAATTTTCATCTGATAGGCATGAACGCTTGTTAATACAGCGTTAGCTATACTAAAAACTCGCTCAACAGGGGCAGATGAAGGGATTGCGGTGTTATACTTGATAAACAATTCTTTTAAAAGGGGGAATTTATTAAAAACATTTAATGTTTTATCCATTGTTTCAAAAAATTGAGCTATGTTATCATCCTTCAATCTGTCTTCTTCTTCCTCGTCAAAAAAAAAAGGTTATATCGGAATTGATTTTAAAACAGTGAAATATTTTTGATATTTGGGCCATGGTAATTCTAATTCATCTAATATTGAATTTTGATTTTCAGAATCTGATGATGAAATATTTATATCCATGCAAATGCTAATCTATTAAATTAAAATATTCAAATTAATAAACTTTAATCTTATCTTCTCTAGCAGTAGCACTATGGTACATTAATTGCAATATGAAAAAGGAAAAAGTAAAAACAGCTGATTAAAAAATATAAGACTTTTTTGTTAAAAAATTGGATTAAATATTAATTTTTCAAATAAATAAAAATATAAGACTTTTTTGTCAAAAAATGCGGATTAATATTTCAAATAAATAAAAATAAAAAGTGTTTTTAAAATTGAACGAACGTAAAAGGAACGCGTTCACGTTCAAAGTTCGTCAAAAAAAAAGGAACGCCGTTCATCACCTTTTTTCAAAAAAACGAACTTCGTTCACGAACGCGTTCATTTTGAACGCGTTCGTTTACAACACTAGATACTTATAGAATATAGGTAAATTTATGCGCACCAGATAGCAGAGACCTGCAGAGGTACCATTTGCACGGCCCGGCCCGGATTTAAAAATTTAAGGCCCGGCCTGGATATTTTTTAAAAAAAAATTTCAGGCCCGGCTCAGAATTTATTAAAATTATATTCGACCTGGTATATACAAAAATTCACCTATGAGGTATTTTACCATATTTTTCAGCGAGTATTATCGCTTATTATTTAAAAAATACATGTAAAAAGCTAATATTTTGAGAATATTATATTGAATTTATAAAAATTATAAAACTGTTATTTATAAAAATGGATATTTTGAGCATATACTATATTTTATATTGCATTTATAAAAATAAAACTATTCATAAAAATGGTAATAATATTTTGAGCATATACTATATTTTATATTGCATTTAAAAAAAATAAAACTAAAATTTAATTTATAAAAATGGAAAATATTTTGAGAATATAATATATTGTATTTAATTTACTATTTAATTTATAAAATAAAAATAAATCGCTATTTAAAAAAATGCATGTATAATAAATAGTATTTTGAAAATATAATCTAATTGCACAATATTAATATAATTTATTTTATGATATAAATTTTTAACAAAAGAAGATAATTGTATTATATAATATTGTAAAAAAAAATAATGAAAAATGTTGGATTAAAAACTTTCATGACTCAAAATATAATAAATGCAATAAATATTTGACTGTTTGCAAAGTAAAAAACCAGCATGATTGACGAAACCCTATACTCAAGAAAGATATTAAAAATTCACAAATTATCATGAAGAAAGAGAAGCATATCTACCTTTTCAGGTTGAAGATTACTTCTTCTTTCTTCAAGAATTCTCGTAGTGGAAAAATTCCGCTCACAGATTGCACTTGAAGCATGGAAATTCGCTTTGATGAGCCGCCCACCACTCTAACAAATTATCCACCTTAAATGTTTCATCTATTTTTTTATTTATGTAATTATAATATTCATCATCGGGTATTGACATATTATCAGAATTACCATCGCCCCATTTGTCATAAAACGATTCAGTTTGTTTAACAACAGTCGTAATTTGACTGGTGATGGTATTTCATTTACTTCCTGAGCCTCTTGTAATTTAATATAATCTTTTATATAGTTTTCCGTCATCTTGCGATCTGTCCCTGACTACATATGTAATTGCTTCAATTTGGGACAGAGAAAAAGAGA